CCCATCCCTTGACCTCGTCACTAACTTCTGCATCCTGCAACAGGCCCAGAAGCCATCCGTGACGTGAACTTCCTGCAATAGGGCCCTAGATGTTCCCGTGGGACCAAGGTGTTGTACCCAGAGACTTGATGCAGGATGCCAAAGGAACCATCCCCATCAGTTTACACCCAGTTCCACACTAACCTACAATGTTGCCAAAAATGGTTCAGTTTGTATTCCCTATAGGGTGTTTCAACTGCGACTCATATTTATCCTTTGGGGGTTACATATTAAACATATTAATTATAATTAATTGATAGGTTAAATTAAAAATTCTTTTAACAGGTTGACCGCCACGAGGCGCACCGGTGCGCCTCACTGAATGGGAAAATCAATAGGCCTGCATTGCTGTGGCGGTCAACGTGTTAAAAAAAGGTTAAATAATAAACTGACACGTATTGATGTGTAACCCTCCCCGTAAATATGTAATCATGAGGGTTAGAGGCTTTCCTCTAACCCATTGAGTGCCCTAGAAGTCACTCCCCTGTTTTATCGTTCAGCCGCCAGGATGAATAAATTTGGGAATCATTTGGAGACATTCAATTATTTTTTTGGTTTCAGATTTGCAATGTGTATAAGTTTTCGCGTTTATGTACGTGTTTATTACTACCTATAATGAAGCAAGGCGAAACACAGGACGAGGTGACATAACGTTCCTGTGAGGGAGATTCCTGGGAAAGAGGGAAGGGTGATTGTGGGAAACGGTAGCACCATAACTCCATCAAGTAGTCTAAAAGGAAACTTTAAATCACAAATTACCCTGGCAAATGGTGTGTCACTCTCATCTATGCCTTTTCTCCTGTTTAACCCTGAAAAGGTTAAAACCTGAACTCTGTTCGGTATTATCCGATTCCTATAATTCCTGTCTCATTGTGGATAAATATTCAACCTCTAAAAAGATATTTTGATTCCTTTTCTTGATGAAAAGGAATAAATATATTTTTTTCTTTGGAGATTTTTCCGAGATAATTGATAATTCGTCTAATACGCAGGGACCCTATTTTCATTCTTTTAAGATAGTCGTTCGAGGGTTTACAAAAGTGAAGTAACTGGCTCATCATCAGGGTGGGTCATGAGTCCCTTGCCGTTAAAAGCATATGCACATATCAGATCAATGACAGTCCAACAACCTGATACTTATGGCCCACCTTGTTCACGTACTATTTTCCCTTACTTTTTTTTTTTTTTAAAGACGATCGCTTAAATATTAACTTTTTCCTCTGGCGCTGGAAAAAAGATTTATTTTTCATAGAAAGACCATTTCCATTCAGTGTTTCATATATGTAATCTCAGAAGGGATAAATATTTCTCCTGTTCTCATGGATATTCATTTATTCACACACAAGATTCATAAAACTCTAGGTAAATGTTTAGCACTCTCAATCGAAAAGGATATAAAGAATTCATCGCATTTAAGATAGGCATCCCATTAACTCTTTTAAATGGTTATTCACAGTCATCTAATAGTTTTTTTTTATTCGGTTTTATCCTTCACCTAGGTTAAACCCTGAACCCTTTCTGCTAACAGTGTACCCATTGTCCTTAAAAATCGACCCACTTGTTTTTTATTATTTTACCCATACGGGGAGTCATATCTTTTCGGAAGGAACTGAGGAAAACTTAAAAAAACTCAAAATTACTTCATCTTACCTCACAACCCTTTTTCAGGATCAAGTGTCCTGACAGCTAGTCCCATAATTTCAAATAGTTACAAACATGAAGACGCCAGCATAACTCATCATCATATACATCACGTCAGGCACGCCTTTCAGTACCCCCCAATCGCAAACTTCCACACTGAAAATCTGCCAAATAGGGATCCCGTCTCATTAGAAGGCGGAGCCTCCGAACTGCGAAGGAATCGGGAATATAAGAGAGAAGAAAGACCAGGAGGAGGAGTGTGGTTGGAAAGACAGAGAGCAACTTGTTGGGTGGGCCAGGGAGGGAGGTTTAGGGTCTAAGCTCATTTTCGTAATTTCTAGTTCATCGAGGTAACTTTTCCCTTGGGTCCGTGGCTTTCCTCTGTGTTTCTTGTGTTGTGTCTGTTTGTGTGTTTCTCGTCCCTTCCTTCTCTTCGTGGGATTTGTTTTCATGGCCTTAGGATCGATAAAGAAAGTAGAGACCGGGAACATAAATTCCCCTTTATTTTGGAAGTGATAAGGTTGATTCCTTTCCTGAGGTTGCTGGGACGAACCCTAGACCTAAAAATATTCGTCAATTATTAATGCTGGGAGTATGTCTCACATTGATAACGTGACAGATATCTGTAAGAGATTGAGTAGGACGATTAGAGCAGATGTCAGCAAGGGGTCTCCCACTCTGAATGATAATCTCAAATCAGCAAGGGGGTGTGAAGAGGTGTCAATTATTCACATCTGAATGACATTCTAAGCTAAACACTAAAAGATTTTCGCAGATCTTACGTCTTCAAATAAACTTTTAGAACATGTCACATCCGACACGGTCACAAAAAATAGCCTTGCTTTCTTTTCCTATGACTTTAACCTTAGATTTCATGGAATGTCACGTCCCGACACTTTTCTGCGCCCACGGATACACTTCTTGCGAAAGAGAATATGCAAGACTTTGGCTAATGGATTTTCAGTCCGTGCCCAAAGCTAAATGTTGCAGCGTTGTACATTTTGTGCGTTAAACATATTACTCCGGATTAGACACTTTGGACAGGCCAATAAGAGGATCGCCTCATGCTTGCCTGGATCCAGACGAGGAACATCGGATCCTTCGACTCGGGTTCACGGCAGTCTGTGGAAACCTGGCTCTCTCGATACTGGCTACTAAGACTGAGTATCAGAGACCCCAATGGGTCTTTTACTACAATGTCTTAACAAAAAATATGCCAGTTTCTTATTTCTTAATATTAATATATTCATCCAATACAGTGCGAACTGCATGTATTCCGGTACACGCGATTTCATAAGAATAGTGAATACTTCTGCCTTGTTTTATGAACTTTCACCTGATGTTTTAAATATTTTCAAACCTTTACAGGTTGAAGTTTCGTAAATCGGAGAGAAGCAATCTGCGCACCTTCTCGCCAGATATGTTACTTTCACTCTCTCCAACATGACTGAGAGCACACGACAATGAATGCAAGAAGAAATTACTTTTTTGCGATGAAGAGTTTTATTTTTTATGTATTTTATCTTGTGTTATTGTAGTTGCTTTGTGTTCAGGCTGCATATGAAATAATTGATCATGAAAGGTTTCTACAGGCATAAATTAGTTTCCATTTATTTGAGATAAGTGCAAGGAATGAGGCTCGCATGATATATTTTTGCTTGTAAACATGTAAAAATTACAGTAATTGCAATAACACGTGACAATAATTTATCTAAGACCTATTCCATTTCTGAGATTGCATATCGTCTGCACTCAGCCACACTGGAGCGTGCCAAAGTGTCAGGGGAGGATGTTTGAATACAAAAACGCCTCATTTCTTCTAGCTTTCCTTGCCGAGTAAGGAGATGTCTGCCTGGCTCACTGACTCCTGGTTCCCCTTGGAGCCTTGGACATTTTTGTCATTACTTGCTCCATTTATTACAGAAAATATATTGGTTCTACCATCGCTCCCCTTCGCGCTAGACTCACTGGCCACCGATCCGATATCTGTGATTGATAGAACACCTCTCTCTCACGCCACTTCCTCTCACATCTTTTCCCTCCGGACTATAGTTTCCGTGATCTATGAACTCCCTTTCAATTCCAAAGCAACAGATTTACGATCCAAGGATGCGGCAGTAGCCTATTGTCTCAGGACGTTCGGCCCTGATGGCCTAAATGTAGAAACACCAGAAAACTCCTTATCATATGCGTATGACGCGTTCATACAATTTGAGGATGATAAGTACCACTCTTCCCTGATCTAATGTACTTCAGTTCAGGGAATGATGACCGATAGTTTTTTGTTAAATATTTTTTTTCAGCAAGTGCCATAAAATCTCAGCTGCGCGCATTATTTCTCTTGGATAAATACCAATAATTTATTTGGAGAAAAAAAAAGAGTTTTTTTTTTAAGCTTAGACAGCAAGAACCATCAATACATTTAGGATTAAAATGGACTAATTGACCATAATGATCGAAAGCGATATTGACCTTGTCCCCTTCTGTTTCGAGGAACGCTGTGAGCCAAGCCCGCCAAAGCCCATCTCCCCGAGCCTCCTTTCCGGAATTATTTATTCTACATATAGAACAAGCTGGGTTGCCCGGCGTTGCCCGGGATATTTTTTAGGAGTAATATAGCTGTTGTTCTTTTATGTGCTTTTTTGTTAGTGCTTATTTGTCTAAGTCCGGCCAGACCGACGGGGACGGGAGCACTGCTCTGGCCATTTTATTTTTATTTGTTTTTTTTATATTATTACAATGACCTGCTACTGGACAGACCCCACCCTCCTGCGAAGGTTTCAGGTCGATATCTCCAACGGTGTCCGAATGCATAGCGTCAGATGGACAGAGACAGAGATCCTTGCTTATAGATATAGATAAATGACTATTAAAAGAACTTATTTCATATGCTATAGCATGTGAAAGAAACTCATGCTATGCGTGCACAATTTCTCAAGTGTCCATACAAATAAACAGTGTAAAAAGTATTTGTCATGGTTATTTGAGATGAGGTCCGATTGAGATCAAAGGAGAGTGGTATTAATCATATGAATGCGTCATTGTTAATACAGATGTAGCAATCAAATGAAAACGGTTGAATTTTTTTCTGGCCTACCCTGTAAATGAGGATGAGCTTACGAGGCGTATAGACTCTGCGTCCGATTGCTGGAGCCAGTGGCATACGAAGGATTTTCGGAAGAGGGGCTCAGAATTAGTGGCAACTGAATGACGAGCGGGGAGAACTTATGAGAATTTCGCGCCGTAACAATGGCGGTTACCTATTCGCCCTCTCTTTTAGATCGGTCCTAGTTCACAGAAGTACAGGCTGGAGTGTACGACGAGCACTTCAGATTTTATCTATATCTGATGGTGAAAGTGCGCATCCAAGTTCATGCGGAGGGCAAAACGGCTCTCAGTTTCGAAATCCAATATTATCTTTTCGAGTGCACTTTCTTTCGTCGTGTGAAGCAGTCGCCGAGGAGGGTAGGTGCCGGCAAAGTGAATAGGCCGCGATGGAGGGTCGGACCAAGTTAGAATTTCAAATCGAGGACGGGGAAACTCCGACGGCGTTCCCAGCCAGTAAAAGCACCGATGAGCTCCTCGGAGAGTTGGATTATTCTCAAGCCACAAAGCGACCCCAAATTATTGCTGCTTTCTGTGGTGAGTTCTCCACGTAATCACTCCATGTCGCCTCCTCGATCGTTTCAAAAGTACTCATTTCGTTCAGCAACCCTGGGAGCGACAGCGTTGGGTACAATCATTGCCTACAGTTCCCCCGTTATACCGGAGCTGGAATCGTGCGACGAAGTATGCCTGTCGGATTCCCAAGAGTCTTGGTTTGGATCTCTAGTGCCACTTGGGTGCCTCTTTGGTGCTCTATCGGGGGGGACCCAAAACAGGTTCTTCGGGAAAAAGAGAACCCTCCTCATCTGTGCCATTCCCTTCCTCGTCGGGTGGATTCTTGTTATCATGTCAGGGATCGGAATTCCTTATATCGCTGATCTGGGAAAAATTTCTCGCAGTGCTTTGGTGACGGTGTGCTGGTGATGCATCTTTTAGAGGTCAGAACGTGGGGATCATGTTTTTGGGTCGGTTCCTGGGAGGTTTCGCAGGAGGGACGGTGAGCATGGCGGCGCCGACTTACATAGCCGACATCTCCCAACCTTCCATACGTGGAGCTTTGGGTTCCGGCTTCCAACTCATGGTCGTCACAGGGATCTGGTTGGGTGCCACCTTCTCGCTCGGTCTTTCTTGGAGGTGGTTGGCGGGAGTCTCGGCTGCTTTCCCTCTCGCCATGGCCGTCTGCCTCTATTTCATGCCGGAATCCCCTTTGGACCATCTGGAGAAGGGGGAGAACGAGAAGGCTGAGGCCGCCCTTCTTTGGTTTCGCGGTCCCGAGCACGATGTCAAGGTACCCTGCACGTGAGTAACGCCTGTTCGTTTCTTGCATCTCTCACTCTGTGGTTTGTAAAGAGGGAACTGGACGAGATGGAGAGGCAGCTGAGGATCGCGCAGAGTCAAAAGGTGAACCTGAAGCATTTGAAGAATCGGGTCGTCCTCCTACCCTTGGGAATCGGCCTCGCTCTCATGCTCTTCCAACAATTCTCGGGCATCAACGCCGTCATGTTCTACACGGAACAAATATTCGCAGCGGCGAATACGGGGTTGAGCAACGAGCACTCCGCCGTGATCGTCTTGGCTGCTCAGGTATTCATACGATTTCATCCATTTTTACTTCCTCTCTCTTCTCTTCGTCCTTTTTCTTCTCGAGAGGCTGGCTCCCTTGCATGCTGCACCATATAGGTTTTGGCGACGGCAGCATCGGCCTTGTTGGTAGATCGATACGGTCGGAAGTTTCTGTTGGCCATCTCGGATGCGACTATGACAGTGGCATTGGTTGTCATGGGGACCTATTTCTACATACAAGAAGGGAAGGAAGACTTAGTTTTGGCCGAAAAACTGGGTGCCATTCCCATCCTTTCCTTGGTCCTCTTCTGCGTGGGCTTTTCCATTGGTTACGGCCCGATCCCTTGGCTCATAATGAGCGAACTGTTCGCGCCCGAAGTTCGGGGTGCTGCCTCCTCCATCGCGACCGGTCTCAACTGGACTTCTGCCTTCATCATCACCTTCACCTTCGCCAGTCTCAAGGCTGGCATCGGCTCCTATGGCACATTTTGGCTTTATGCAGGAGTCTGTGCAGCTGGCACGGCTTTCATCATCCTCTTCGTCCCGGAGACCAAAGAGAAACCATTCGCCGAAATTCAAAAGCTGTTCTCCCGTGAATAAAATCCTAGATCGTCTAGTCGTTATACTACCAGTTTTCTGAAATAAGGTTGTACCTCCTAGTATGGAGACATTTTTTGCTGTTTCAATGGAATGAGAATTTGAATCCAATAGCAAACCAATTGGATCACGTTGAGTTGAATGCCAGCAATAGACTGGGACGGTCTAACCCTGGTACACGACCCAACGTGATTTTGAGGGAAGGCTTCATTGGAGAAGTTGGAATATTCTCAATTGCACCAAAAACTGGCCCAATCAAGGTCCTTCATTGGTCAGTGTCTTATTCTATGTTGGTTCAATATTGGGTTGTAAAGCTGAGGCAATATTGCAATGCATCATAGGCTTTGTGTTCACCAGTGATAGGCAATGCAATACTTGGGGTTTCTGATGGGCCCAATAACTGGATGATTCGTACCCAAGATTGTACCAATAATGTTGGTCCAATATGGAACACTATAGAGAAAATGTGAAGTTCTCCTCAGCGCCACTAGTGTTGTGGCTGCCGTTATCTCATTCTACGCTTAAGTATCCATCTTTCTTTTCTTGAAAATCTTTCTGGCCAGGAATATCTGGAATCCATTCATATCTCGCTCAGTCTCCTTTGAGGAGACAATAACAGCTGCATTTTTTTTACATGCGGACAAGCTTTTTGTCGGCGATTCAATATTGCTGTCGGGGAAAATTCTTCAAAGCCGAATGATCCACTGGCAATATTTTAGCTAATCTGGCAATATTATATTCCAAAGTTCTTGTGTGATTGATCGCAGTACTCTCCGACCAATTCAGGAATTCTGAAGTTCGTGCTTCAACGTATCATAAATGCGTAACATATTAAAAAAAAACTAAGAAAGGGAAGTTTTCCTTGTCACACGCTTGAAATTAGGAAATTCGGCCAGAATACTGAGCCCCCTTCAAGGCGGGTCTGCGTATAGCCCTACCCTCTAATTCTCTTTCCATGGAAGCTCTCATGCTCTTCAGATGCCATATCACGGTTACGCGCTTCATTGACGCCAACATACAAGTGAGAGACTTTGATATCTCTAGTATTCGACATACAATGTCTAGACCGATACAATCCCGTACTTGTTCCGAATGCGGCAGTTTAGGGTCAGCTGTTTAGACAGCTGGATATTTGGAAGAGTGGAGAAAAATAAGGTTCATGAGGTTTAATGAAAGTATTGTAAATATAAGAATCTCCTCATTTGTCATAACAATAGGCCTTTGAATGCCCTTGATGAGGACAAATTGAGGTAAGCGAATGGAGAGAGAGACTTAGGAGTTATTATCGATGAGGAACCCAAGTTCTTGGACGCGCAGACGACGGTAGCAAAATATAACAGCGTTTTAGACACAATCTGGCATTCCATTGGCAATGAGAGCTCGAGAGTTATTCTTTCGAGGTAAGGAGCTCAGGTAAGAATCGATTTAAAGCATTGTGTTCAGTTTTGGAGGCCTTTGGAGGAAGATCGATAAGGAAATCGACAACATGGAGCATGATAGGTTTTTCCAGCTCGATGGTTGCAACAGAACGAAAGGAAATCGATTCTTGCATAAACCCCAAGTGAGACTCAGGTTGCGGGATCACTTTTTTACTTGTAGATTGCATGGAATGAAGCATTTGTGAATGCGTGGAATGCGTTAAGTGACGAAGTAGTGGCTGCCCAAACACATAGGAAAATGACACGTTATAATGTGTCATTTGACTTTTATGTGCCCGAAATAATTTCTCCCTATTGGTCCCCAAAAACGGGTCGTGAGCGTGTCGAATGGTACATTCTGTAGCTCGATTTTTTTCTCACGTGTCAGTTGACACATGTCCATCTGCTAAAACTTGTTCGTATGTCATCCGACACACTTCGGCCTGTGTCACTTGCAGTAAGTTGTGCCAAAAAGTTGTGCCGCTTGTGTCAAGACTCATGAAACATTATTTCGTATCACCCAGGCGATGGCCAGACACACTTTTTTGTGTCATTTGACACACTGACAGTTCTCAGCGCAGCGTCGTAACTGGCTTTAGGAAGAGGATAGATGTTTTCAAGAAAATTATATAAAATACACCTATCTTTAAGAGGGAAAGGCCGATCTATTTATATATAAATATATTATATAAGAACGTTGGACTTTGACACGAGATGTCGGAACGGACAAAAAAGCCTCTTGACATCCCTACCTGAACTTTGAAACTATCTCCCTCTTCACTGATGGCATTGTTCCACTTCCCAGACTACCATACGTTGCATTCGTCTCCTAGCAAGAAAAGGAATAAGACGAGGCCCAGGGAGCGAGTGAGTCGGAGACCAGGAAAGAACCAAACCACCGCTCAGAAGGGCAGACAGGGGGTGAACACGCTCTAACTTCCTTGTATTTGCCGCTCAGTTTTTTTAAATAAGAAATTATAGAATATAGATACTCAATATTGGAACCAAACTTCTTTTAACATACAGGGTGTAACAAAAGTCTGTTCTCATAGGTAACAGGAATCAATTAAGTTTAGTTCATAAAATGTTAAAATTGGGGAAATTCTTCACAAACCTCTCTCTGTCTTCTACCAGCAACGCATAACAAAACCAATTTCACCTTTTTCTGTAGTGTGTACCCAAGCAAAAATGTTGTAGAGAAACCTATAGACTTCTATAGAGTTTTCCTTGTAGTTCCATAGAATTCGATAGACCAGTCATTGCACCTGGATAGGACTTTATACAGATTAGGGTGCTCTTCGGTAAGGGGAGAGAAACCGTGCAAGGGGGGAAGGATACTACCACGTGGGTACTGCTCAGTGGAGGCGAGTGGACGAAAAATCTGGGGTACATCATCTTCATAATGAGCGAGAAATCATTGTTGTAACAATGGGAGCATGAAGCGCGAAAGGTGTGTTGAGGTCGGTCTCGTCACCTGATTAGTCGCACTGCTTGAAGCGGCAGGTAGCTGTAATAAATGGCTGAACGAGAAAACGTTCCATGTTGGCAGTTTATATGGAACCGAATAAATGTGAAAGCAGAGTGGAAATTGAAACTTTCATGGAACATTTGAAGAGTAGAGGTAAATCCGGTCCGAGGAGAAAAGAATCGGTCCCACGACTTGCTCCCCTTGCGAGTTTCAGGACATCTCTTAAACCAAATCGCATCAAGCTCACCTACCAAATATCACTATCGTGAAGACTGTATCTTCTGTCTTTTCCATTCGTGGCAACTTCATGGATACAAATCGGCCTCCCTGCTATCGTACACTTCTGTATTGCGTGCGCTATGTCATGCCCTTATCCATCGTCTATGAGCCTGGGGAGGTCTCGAGACTCAGACCTCCCAGATGGGAAGCCAGATAGAGACGCTTTGGTTTGCCCAGTTTCTCATATCACTAAGTACACAAGATTTCCATCCGCCAAATCCCAGTCGGTGCAGCAACCAACCTCCTCAAAATTGCACCACTAGAGATGGAATGACTCTCCGATGCATGATCCCCAAGAGGATTTTCAGCAGTTCATAACTACGATATATGCCATATCCCTCCACCAGCATCTGCCAATGCTTCCAAAAGTTCATAATAAATTCATTGGATATGAGCCCTCTAAAACGTACTTCACATTCTATCATATAAAATTGTAGATGATCGAAAGGTTGAAGAAAAAAAGCTATATTTAATACTCAATCTCTGATCGTGTAAATGATGAGGTGCTTAACTCAATCGAGGTTCTCGTTCGAGATGAACCTGTATCAGGTATTCGAGAAATCACCTTAAAAAGGTATACTTTGCGGTAGTTTTATCCAAAACCTGAAAATCGATCTCTAAATCCCTGTCACTCCATGGAACTAAAATATTTCGACGGTGCTGCTTCCAGGTATCAGAAATGACTTCTTTTTTTTTTTTAAACAGCCAGTCCGCAAGAAAAGCCACTTTACAGTACTTCCGGCAATTTGATATACTTTCGAAAACCGATTATTGCCACACAATATCGAAAAATTTTTTGTGTGGAGCAGTATTGTACCGATGGAAGAGCGATACAAACTATGGTGAATGCAAAGAGACTGAGATCGATGGGTCTCGTGATGGTGGAGAAATCATAGGCTAGAGACGGCGACCGAAATCGAGATGATCCTTGCTATCAAGGAGCAATATCTGCGTGACAAGGATGGTAATGGACGGGTAAGCACTCCTTTGAGGATATGGGAGAGTAACAATGCGTTGCAACCAGCCTTTAGCTCGAAATGATGTATTTTCAACATGAAGCATGTATTTTCCATGGTCTCGGTGTTAAGTAACGTAATATATGAGGATGTAGTTGTCGATAGTACGATGACCCAGGGGCTTGAAGCAGACTAGATACGTGATGCATGCAGCAATGGGGCGTTTACAGCCTTTAGCTCGACGATTATAATTACGGCTTCTCGAAATATGATTCTATGATCTCGAGTTAAGTAGTGAATGTATAGGAGGTTTACTTATTGGTAGTGTTACCCAAAGACCTTTAAGCTACAGCGGAAGCCAATGCAGGAATTTAGCCTGGTGGTAATGTGGATTCTGCAAAGCGTAGAGACGTGTCTGCGAATTTACCGGTCCGTTTGGAAAAGCTCGTGATCGATTGAGCGCTGTTCTTCCTCTCGTAAACAGCTTCAGAGGTTAATGAAATCCAAACAAAAGCGAAATAGATCGATAACCAAAAATTGATTTTTTTTTTGTGACTGCGGTGACCCGAAGCACCAATTTCGCAGCGACGGTTCTCGGTGGCAACCCAATAATGTTGAATCTGAGACCTTCTATGCAACCACTTTGACTGAGCACATTTATCGGATAACATTTTTAGTTGTGCCATTAATCGTTTTTTTTTAAGTCGGTCAATCTTGGGCAGTTTTTCTCGCGGACTAGCGATAAATTTCCAAAGACCTGCCGAAATGCAAGCTCATGGGGGCCCCATGCACGGATTTTGCCTTGGGTTTTTGATGAGGTGACGAACCTCCCTCGTGAGCCAAGAACCCAAGACAGACAACTGTGGGAGGAATGATGGAAAGGACGGAGATCCACGTGAGCCTCGTCGACCGATGGCCCTGTCAGAAACAGAACGGCACGAAACTCTTGCTCTTCTCAACCTTCTCCCAATAAGGAATATACAATACTTTTTCAAGACGAAGGGGCATACCTGTCTTGGAGGTAACCCGCATGTCCAAAGAACCACGCGGGGGATCATGAAGAAGGGGAGAATAAGGACGAGAGGGGAAAGAGTTCCGAACGTTGTGTCTCGGTTTCACATTCTCCGAGCCCAGACAGAGAAACCGAGAGATTACTTGGCCCTCTTCATAAGACCCCGCGGGCAAAGAAAATGCAGACGACGTGAATTGAAAAGTGGAATGCCTTCCCCCGGCAGCACACAACGGTAGGCCAATATTGGCTGCGAGTGGAGGAGCTTGGGCCCACATCGCAGTGGGCTGTCCGTGTAGGCACAACATCGGCGCAAGGGCGGCAGACAACATCTTCCATGTCTCAGATGAGACTTCTATCTCAGTTACTTGAACAAAAAGCTTCCCATAGAATTAGATGGGGGATATGTTGCCACTATTACAACAACATCTTTGATGCAGTTGACCTCTCCTCTACCTTCCATTCTGAGACAACCCGTCTTCTATCATCTATCTATCTACATCCCTGGAGACCAAAGAGGTTTCTTCGTCCTTCTTTTCGACCTTCATGGCTGTTTCAAGTTTCCTGGACCTTATATACCCGCCCTTGGATCTTTATTGACTTCATTGTCATGTGATCTTGCGGTTTGACTCTGGCCCTTGCCACAACCCTTTTGAAACTCTTTTACACCGACCAGTTGTGCTTGCTCAGGTCTTGACTGTGATTTAGCTTGCATGCTTCTGTTGGTACCTTCTGCTGGTGTGGTTCATATTGTCACGTTCTCATTGATGTTCCTTTATCTTTATTGTTTTCTTGTTTTTATCTCAATGTGAGGTTATTAAATGTATTGTGCGAAAATGGATTTGTTGTGATCCCCGATGTTTCGGGGCTCTTGAGAAGGGGAATAGAATTGTATTCACCACCGAACCCATGCTGACTGTCATGTTCTTTCTTTGTCGTTCATGCTTTATTTCGGATTGTGGGCCCATTGGCCCTGAACTGCTGCGCTCGACTTGCTCACTTTCATTGTTTTTTTTATGAATGAATGAATGATTTTCTGAAATGAGGTTACATCAATAAAAAATAAGGTGTCTTCCGTTCCCCTTGTCAAGAACCACTATCTCTCCATGCAAAGTGCAAGAATAGCCGCGAGTCTTTTTGAGCTATGTTACGTCTCTCAATAAATTAAATTGGGTCAATGGAAGGCCTCAACGTGGGTGGGAACTCCATCCAAGGACATCCATGGGTAGACCCTGAGAGGATGTCCTTGGAAGTTCCTTTGGTGAACGTCCAATGGATGTCGAAAGATGGAGTGACACATCATTTCGTTCCTAATGTCGAACTCTATATGAAATAATGCAATGGTCAAAGGATAATATCACACTGTCCATATAATGGTTGAAGTTACTGGATTTCGCATTAGATGAGACATTTGAATTAAAAAAATGGAACTACAGAAATCCCACGATCGGATGCGCGTAATGTCATTCCAAAAAACCATCATTCAATAAAATGGTAATAGTTAAGTGTTCGATGTAGGGAAATTCTCCTTGGATGAAGCTCAGAATGCATGAGAAGATATTGATCCATGGCGATGACGTTCTATGTACATCCATAGGACGACAGCTTCTGGACTTATACCCATTTCAGGACGACTGGACTGTCCATGCATGACTGTCTCACGGACAGTCATGAGATGACTGGATTACCCATGGCTACTTGGGTTGGGTAGTCAATGAATTTGCAAGACTCAGCATCCATTTATCAGGAATCTTAGCTTGACGTCATCATTTTCTCTACAAGAGCATCGATCCTGACCCATGTTCGTTGTCAAAATCAATGCCGGAAAAAATAACCCAAGGGTCTGCGTCAATTGAATTCCAAAGCACATATGAAAATCACAATTTTTTTTAATACTTCAGGACTGACCATTAACTCGGCACACATGGCCTTGTGAGGTATGTTAGGAGTATGCAGTCCTGAATTACAACAGAGGCTATCGGTTGTATCCTGGATTTTTTCCAAACCAGGAGTGCAGTCCTCAATTAATTGTTAGCTGAAAAGGAAACTTCCTCTTTCCCTCGAGTTACCTCCAGTCGGTGGAGAGAGTTTCTCTTTCCAAGTTGTTGCATGTTTCCTTCCATTATTGGAGAGACAAACTCACAAGATAAAGCTGAAATAATATTTTCATGTATTTTCTCCCAACCATATATTAAAATAAAACTATCAATCTCTTAGACTCATGTGTGAATCTCATCTCACATAACCAAAATCTTATAACACTCCTTTTTCCGCTCCTAAACTACCTTCCAAAGGCAAGAAAGGTCCCAGGAAGCTAATATTCCTCTTGCCATCTATGAAAATTTCTCATTTGTGTGCACTATTGACTCTTACCACTTTACCAGACTGTTAACTTAGGAATATTCAAGAGTGTAGAAAGTGAAGGAAAGAGATGAGGTAGGAGGAGACTGAAATTGGTACCAATTCTCATAATGGGAAGACAGATAAAGGATATGAGGAATGCATGTGCAAAGCAGTACAAAATCCCTGTGTCCCCTCTCCCCATCTCTCTGTACCATAGAATGTGGTTGCACAAGAAATTGGTTCATCGCCATCATCAATTTGGTGACATCCATGGATGACTTCCTACCTTTAGGATTTTTCAGTAGGGACCCTGCTAGAAAGGCTTCAGTGTAACCAACAGTATAAATGCATAAATACACACTTCATCCCTGCACAAAGCACCATCCACTGATTTAACACACACTACAACATGATCTGTTGTAGGAAAGGGACAGTCACCAAGAGATAATGAAGTAATGAAGGCAGTAAGCTTGGACCAGAAGAGAGTAGGTCCATCACCGAAAATCAGACCGGAGCCTCCAGACACCAACCCCACCATCCATGCGATAGAAGGAGCACAATCTGTTGAGCATGGACTTGAATACAGCACAGGCTTCAGATGGTAGTTTGTCACGAAACTTTCCTACAAGTTCCTCAGAGGTTGCCTGCCCGTCATGCACAGCTAAGAAACCCCTAATTTCTTCCACCAAGTCCCGGTACTCAGCCGAAAGGTCCCCAGTCCAAACAACCTCCTCGTCTGAGGGTTCATCTGAATTATGGAATATGGTGTCAATGGTCGATGTTGGTGGTGGGATGAAAGAAGCCTCTGATAACTTTCTCAACTTCATGAGGACACTGGAAGAGGATGGATCTTCCAACCCCTCCTCCTCTTTAGAAGTACTGGAAATGTCAACAGGAGCAACTGAAACAGCAGGTTTCGGTATTGCCTTGCGCTTCTGACCGAATCGCAATCGCTCCTGGGAGCTGCAAGGAAAGGGGAAACCAATGTACAGGATCCTACTAAAGGTGTGGCACAGCATACATCTGTTTGGGTACAGGACTATGGTTATCACTCAAGGCTCCATTGTTACTGACCTCTTCTGGATTGAAGAAGAAGAGGAAGATGAGTGTTGTGTAAAACCCACATACTGTCTCCTAGAGTTCTTGAGAGCAGCAACAGCTTTATATGCCACTCTATCAGCCTCAATCTGCATCAAGTCATGGTCTGCTTGGGAACTGTCCACAATTTTATCATGCCGCAAAGCACTATGGACTCCTGGTCAACAGAGAGTGACAGTTAGTATCCATTGACTTATGTAAAACAAGATGATAAAGGAGTTTATTTCTTACCAGACTTTTTGAACAGTTTCACCAGGACATATTCATCTTGATGCTGATGTTGAAGTTTTCTCTGCTCAGCATCCACAGAACCTTCATCTAACTCATCTTTCTTGTAGCGCCTCTTCACCAGATGAGGGATCTTCTTGCCAGCGATACGAGAACTTTTGTGCTCCACTCTGGGACAAGGTTTGCTCTCTTCAACTGCTTTTCCACCAGCTACACACCCATATGTTTGGGAGATCTGTTGACTGAGCTTTCGAGCCAGATCTCTCATTCGCTGAATTCGTTCTTCTTCCTCCTCCTCCTGTCTCTCCATTCCCTCCTTCTCCTCTACTCTGTTTCTCTTTGCATGGGGTTTTCCTACAGTTCCTGACTTCTTCAACTCCTTGGGTTTCACAACTGACCCAAGACCAGTGAAGAGAGCAGATGATTCTGTTTCTCCTTCCTCTGGGTCCACATCTGTCAAGCGGAATAATTCATGGAGTTCATTGGCCTTAAAGAATCGCCTCTGCCTAGGATCCTTGAGGACACGGTCAGTCAAGTATTGCTTGAAGATTTGACGATGGTATATCTTCTCTTCTATTGTTCCAGAAGTCAGGAGCCTGCAGACACACACATTCTTGAAATATTCTCATAGAAGCATGGGAACTATGAATTAGCAATAATGATGAAGTAACACTTGATCTGACCTGTAGATGGTAACATCTCGACCTTGACCAATCCTCCAAGCCCGTTCCCTTGCTTGCGTGTCAACAGAAGGATTCCAGTCTGGATCATAAATGATGACACGATTGGCCCCAGTCAAGTTCACACCAAGTCCTCCAACTCGAGTTGTCAACAGAAACAGGAAGATATTGGGATCCTATAGCAAATGGATAAGAATCATGCAATGATGTCCAGGGAGGCTGAAGCAGAGAAAGCAATGAAGGTGACAGACAGTATTGAATTTGTGAATTAGGCTCTGCCTCCCACCAATGTATGTCCCACCATCCATCTTCAGGTATGTATAGCCAGCAGCCTGAGCAAATGCTTCCAAGATACAAAGCATCTATGAACCAGAAAAAAAGGGCTATTAGAGACTTCTTTCCCTTTCTCCTATAGTTCAAAGGGTGCTGGCTCACCTTGCGGCTTTGTGTGAAGAGAAGCACTTTGTGGTTCTGCTTCTTCCACAGTTTCAGTAGAGTTTCTACCACTATCATTTTCCCTGATTTCTTCCAGTACCCATATTGGTCTTCTTCAGGGAATTCTGATTGGTTCTGGTCCTGGAAAACATCAGCATGAGTGGATGAACACAAAGAAAATGATGCATGAATTGCATGTATATGATTTTGAATTCTAGTAACTCACAAGTTTTGCATTGCCATTGTAGAGATCAGGATGATTGCAGATCTTGCGAAGGTGGATGAGTCCCACAAATACCTGCAACCTCCCATCAAGAATGTTCTTCAATTCCTTTGAATCCAGATATTCACGATACAGCTCCCTCTGATATTCTGTCAGGCGACAGAACAGCACCTGCAGGATGTGATGTAACACCCATAAACACGTCAGTGGTAATGACAATCAACTCTAGGAACTTAAAATATACCTGTTCATTCTTGTTTGGTAAGGTGAGATGTTGCTTAACATCTGACTTCATGCGTCGGAGGAGATAAGGCTTGATGGTATCCCGAAGGACACATGCACATCGATAGGCAATGGCCACCTCCATCTTGGAAGCTGTTGCATATCCACCCAGAGTGATGGGGACAGAAAACTCAGTTATGAAAGTCTGCAGGGTCCCCAATTTACCCGGGTAAATGAAATCAAATAGGGACCACAATTCCTTGAGATTATTCTGAAGTGGGGATCCAGAGAGAATGAGTCGATGTGAAGTTGGGAAGCACTTGACAACCCCTGTGGCTTGGGATTCTGGATTTCTAATCTTGTGCCCTTCATCAAGGATCACATAGTGCCAGCTGACTGCTAAAAGATCTTTTTGATTCTGAACAACACCTGTATATGATGTGATGAGTATCCCCTGACTCTGAGAAATGTCTACAATAAGGTCTTTTTTTCTTCCTGCAAAAATAAAATATATAAATGACATGGATGCAGACATAAAGTAGTCATTAGGCACAAGGTGTGAAAAGGGATAAATGACATACCAACAAATGCACCAGATTCGTGGAGGATGGCAACTCGGAATGGTGGCCACCAATCATGGAACTCCTTCACCCACTGCTGCATCACTGTTGCAGGAGTGATGATCAGCACTGGTCCCAGACCCTTCCACCTACAAAAAAATTCACCATTTTAGAGATTTCACACAATGATTCACATCAAAACATTATGTTGATCATATCGATAGAGGCCACAAAACAAAACTATACAAAGTATAGTGCAAGTTTTGTAAAAGTAGCTCCAATTAAAACAGAGATATAGAAGCTTAAAGTCATTTGTTATTTTTTTGCCATATGTGTATGTGCATAATGGCCTTGGCAATGCTGATTACAACCCATATAAAACTGACTTGCAGCCAAAGCTGATGGAGGGAAGATTGGAATATGAGAGTCCTGCAAGGAAGGAAATGATCTGGATTGTTTTCCCCAACCCCATTTCATCGCCTAGTATTCCACCACAGCCTTGTTCATGCAACTCCCACAACCAATGCACTCCCACCTGCTGGTATCTTTGCAGAGAGAGAAACCATGAATTAATCAACAGGAACTAATTAATTACAAAAGAAAATGCAAAGCCATCACTTACTTATAAAGTTTATTCCATATCGAGTGAGGAATACGATACTCTCCATCAAAACTCTCATACATCTCTTCTTCAATCTCTTCATCATTGAGAATCTTTTGGTGTTTCTCCTTTAACCTTTCATGATTCCATGCCTTCACCCTCTTCCTATAGTCTACTGGATTCCCATCATCAATGATTCGCATCTCTGAGAAATAAAAACCATAAAAAGAAAGGGCATAGGAAAGCATAGTCAACATGGACAGAGAAATAAAGGCCAACAATCTATGAAGTAAATACTGCACCTCTCTTGCTACTCTTAGGATTTGGGTCATCACTTCTCAAACCCTCAGATTTGGTAGGGCTTCTCTTCTTTGATCTCTGCTTTGGCACACTTCTTTGGATTTCACCTGCAGAGAAGCCAGACAATATGAGAGGTCAAGAACTTTATGAAGACTGAAGAGGAAATAAAACCACTTTCAGCTATACCATCTCAGAGAAAGGGTAAGAAATTCTTCTTAGATAGTGTATTTACTCCCACTCTGGAAGGAAGCTTGAAAATTAAACAAAGCATCAAGTTACAAACAAGGATTGAATGCTGCATTCTATGTCAGAAGAAATGTTTAAACCTAAATTTGAATATCATACAGCAGCAATTACTCCAAAAAAATATTCTCATCTCAAATGTGCTTGCCAATCAGATTCTACAGGAATGGTCTCAGTTGTACTCATCTAAAAGGGGAGTAATTTCTCCATGCTTCATCCATTCCACAATAAAACAAGAGAATATGCAATTTTTAGACAGCAAGGCAAAATAAATTCTTCCTGATCATTTTCACACAGAGATGGAATAGTGCTCTTCTCTACTGTGGACCCTTCCAATTAAGGATTGCCTACACCAGCAGATAATGGGCAATTTCACTTTTACATTAATAACTCTGACCAATAAAAGCAGGGACATTAAGAGAGTTCACAGATTTTGAGCCCAAAGTAAAGACACATGCTTCAAGTGATTGTTGGTAAGCCATTCTACATCCCTCATTTCATATAGAATCCCATGTTAAAAACTTCATAGAATGTTCATTATGTATTAGAATTTTTGGACAAGTATATAATTTGATTATATTAACTCCAACATGAACACAGTCAAGATAAGGCTATCTTACCATACATTGAGAATTGTGATGCAGCGTCACTTGTTTCCACTTAAAATTCCCACCCTGAAAACTCACATTTCATGCCAATACTTAATCTCCAAAAGTAGCATACTCTACTTTTCCCAAGGTCTCAGAGTCCATCTTAATTAATCTGCTTTGATCCAGTATTTTCAGATGTGGAAGAATTTCTCTGGGAATCTTCTTTTATGGACCCCAAAAATGTGTGAATTAAATCTGAATTTGTTAATGAACTCCTGAAACAAAACAGGGTAACTAACCATGAATCACACATTGGATAAACTCAATAAACTACAGCAAATTTGAATTCAGATTCATAGATCATTGATACAGACAGACGTGAAGCAAAACTAATGGCTTATTGGCATGATTTTCAAAATAAGAAGGTGAGTAGTAAGCTGAAATCCTCACACAGTAAGAATTGTACAGGATCACCCAAAAAGTTAGAAAACAAGACTTGGGCAGATGAATCATGAAAATCATGAAATCAGAAAGGGTTAAAAATATTACAGGCAAATTTTCCAGTTCTTCAGCAACTATCTCAGCATACCATACTGCTTCATAAGCAGTATGACATCATCAGTAACTAATAAAGTAGCAAAAGCAAAATGTTCAACACAAACCAAAGCTAGGATGTTCCCAATCTGGATTTGATACTTCTGAGTCTGAAGATGGAATATATTCACTGTCATCATCACTATTTAAATATATTGATTGCTTTTCTCCTGCCACCTTCCCAGGAGATACTCCAGACCTAAAACAAGAATGCAATGAAACATGAGCAAAATAAACCTATACTAATTTCCAGAGCAAAGAGTGATAATGCAAGAGAATACTGCTTTACCTTTCCAAGAACTTGACAGCCTACAACTTTTGCTTTGCACTAAAACTCACTCTTTAGTAGCCTGTTGCCCTACTCTTCAGCTGCAATACGTAAAATGACTTAAAATTCTAAAAGCACTTATAGGCCCACAGCACAATGGCTGAAATCAAGCTCAATTCAACTTTAACCATTATGCATAAGCTTTCAGCCATTGCTTGGTCAATTAGAAAGAAGCAACTTTGATCTGGGCCTAAAACCTAAAACCTAATGAGGATAAGGATTTTATTTATTACTTCCTACTTATTGACAGAACTATTACTTGTAATTGGGTGCAAAGGAAAGTATAGTGGGAGGAAGGGGGAGAAGGAAAAGGATAAGTTAGATGGAAGGTAAGGGTTGCCAACTCCTTGATCAACAAGACCTGGAGATTTTGCACCATGGGAGATCAGTTTAGTCTAAGTTTCTATTACTTAGAAATTAAAAGGGTACTCAGATCATAGTTCTGGTATTTTCCCCATGCTGTAGCTGTTTTCAGCAATTTTTACAGGTAGGCTACAACAAAAGCAACCTAGGCGCACATCAAGTTATTTTGAGCCAAACTCAGAACTTAGCCCATAGGGTAGTGGTACCCAAATAGCAGTAAGATGCTTTAAAGTCACATCTCCAATGTGACTCAGCTTCTGACTTCCATTACTGTCATGCATATATGTATATAAACAGTAAAGGGAAGTCAAAAACAAAGTGGGAGAGGAGTCATAAAATGGGAGGTTGGTATACCTTGATATAGAAGGGGTATTTTAAAAATTTCCATAGTTGCAGTATAGTACTCTAAATATTTAGAACCGGACAATTGACACCTTCCACAGAAATTTCAACTATGTGCAGTTGCAAATTTCAAAGAAATCTAGCCATTCATTTCTTCATTTCCATGTCACAAAGTTTGTTGTGCTTAGCACACTGTCAAAAATGGGTAAGGGAGAACACAAGAACTCCCTTCTTGGGAGCCACTATCCCTCTCAAAGTGCTCTTGGAAATGCAATTTGGCAGTGATACCAAAATGCCCCCAAAAATACATTCTCCCAATGCTACAAGTAGGTGAAAAAATGGCAGTCTTGCATGGAGAGGCAGGGAACCATGTTGAAAAGAGAAAGATGCAAATCAGAGTAGCACAAATTATTTTTCATTTTATTGGACTACTATGAAAACCCTTTGACTGCACGTCATATCTCCAGCCATGGAACAAAGAGCACATTAGATGTGCTGCATTGAGTGTGCAAGCAGAGGGAATCAGCCTTTTTTTTGTGCATTCAACTCATCCCTAAAAGATGCTAATGCTGAACAGTATATTTATGTGACAAACAAAACCATGAATCTCCTAGTGCTCTCTCTATATATGAAGTCAGGAGAAAGTGAACAAAACTGAGAATCTTCTAGACAAACTGGGAGGGTCAGTAGCTTCAGGGGGAGATATACCTGAAGGGAAGAGGGATTAGATTTAGATATTAACTTAATCCTGGTTTCAGAAAAACAATGGAACAAATCACTGTGATATATGGTACTCACAATTCACCAACTTCAGATGTGCCTGAGCCCATAACAGTCTTCCTTCTACCTTTCTTGTTCTTTAAAATGCTTTTCTTGAGTGGGCTTTTCTTGGAGTGGGCCTGGTGTTTCTTCTCCAGGTCTTGTTGAGCCTTCAAGTACTCCTCAAAATATGATCTACCTCCGGATGAGGTGCTGGAAAAAGAACAAATAAAGTGCAGGCTGATTGAAAAGTCACTGCAGCAGAATTCACAACATGACAAAGGAGGTATCATTGTAGATAGGAAGTACAGGCAATAAATGATGTATATCAGGGATGATGCTAATATTTGAATAAGTATTGAGCAGGAATTTATGTCTCTGATGATGTAATAAGTGTGATACACAGTACAGTACATAATATAATATTAATAGTATATTATTAATAGTATAATGACAAAAAATAAATGAATTCTACCGCACAGTGGCCTTTGAATCACTGTGAAGTATAAAAAATATTAAAATGTATCAACATTATAATGCAAATATACCAGCTTGATATACCTTGCCTACCTAAATAAGGGAGCAAGGCATGCAAATGGGATCTTGATTAAATTTGAAAATTTTCAGTTTCCCATTCACCTTCACCACCTGGATTGCAATGCACACATTCATGGTGTGCATTAGCATGCAATGGCATTAGCAATGAAAAACCTTATGGTGTGTGGAGGCACAGGCTTCAGATGCATTTCTGATTATTAAGAGACCTCTCTGATGTCTGCTGCAGCATTTCAAGGTGCATATTGGATTATTATACAATCATGACATATCACAACTCTGACATGCAACACCTTTAGGGCTCTGACCTTTTACCCTCATCTTTCTCATGTTAAATCAGCATCCTCAATGCACACATAACAAGAACACAGAAGAAGAGAAGCATGTGTCTGCAAGGGGCTTCAAATCCTTCCTCAGGCCGGTAAAAGACAATGATCCTGGATATGGCTGGATGCAGGTGAAACTACCATAGAACATGGTGTGCACAAAATGAACTAGATCCAGACTTCCAGGGCCATCATTTAACAAATAACATGGCAAAGACAGGAAGAAGTGAACACCAAATGAGAACCAAAGGGGAGATTACCTGGGTCCATCAAAATGACCAGATACTGAAGGAGTGAGGACAGTACCAAAGGGAGTCATCTCTCCTGCCTTCACTCTTGCCTCCTGAGTTGACTCTCCTTTCTCATTCAAGTTCAAACTTTGGGAGATCCTCTGTGATGAATTCATCAGCATGTGTTATTGATCAGTTAAAGCTTAGTCAAATGGAATGGATGACATGGAAGTCAGGAACCTGTTCTTTGGTTTCATTCCATTCCAAGAGCTTCTCCTTCAGTTCTTCTATCTTTTCCCTTAGGGTATTAAGTTTGCCTGAAAGGCTTGACACTTGTCTGAAAGTCTTAGCATTCCCAAGCAATCCCTCTGTCTCTTCAAGATCCTTCTCACGTTTCCTGTAAGAAGAAAAGAATATTGGTATTAAAAAAAGTACCAATAAAGGGATAATATACATGGTGAAAGGTATAACTACAAGTCTGACAATCAGATTTGTCTTCCCTATCCTTCCAGCTCCACTGACAATACTAACATGAAAATAGGGACCTGAACGTAGGAATTGTATGCAGCTCTGAGCACTCAGTGCACAGGTTCACATCCCAGTGCCATTCATGCTCTTTTGCACCATAGCTTTCTGTTAATTTCCTTTGAGTTCACAGCCAAAGAACAAGAGACATAGCCTATTGTGAGGAATCATAGGTCTGTTAAGTTTTAAAATGGTTGAGGTTGTTTTCAGATTGCAGACAGCATAATCAAAGTCAGATTCTGGTTATCTCAAAAAATAAAGTAATATGCACTTTGCAAGACTACAATACCAAAAGGCCCATTGGCTAAAATCATAAACTTATGTGGAGATGCAACACCACTCATTGTAGCTCCTCCAATACATTTTTAACATATTGTATGCAAAGGGATCCTTTCAGAGAACTGGGAGGCATTCTAAGTTGCACTAGTGCTTCAACATGGAATCAGTAAATGATCTAAATACGCTAAGTAATAACTGATTAATTTTGATAGCAACCAGTCCTTTGTGAAACTCTATTGTTTTAAAAATTGTATAGATTCATAACAAAGTTTCTACAACATTAAAATATAGTGCAAGGGGGGGTAAGAATTCAATCTGCAAATAGTTTAAAAGGCAGACTTATTCATTTATTCATCCATCCATGAACTTAAGGAATCCAAGACTCTCCAAATCTAGGTAAGGCCACTTCTCTCAATTATTTGGCAAAACAGTGAATGAATGTGAGTTGCTTGGTCTGCAAAGAAAATCAAATCACTGTAGGTATTATCTAAAGGTAGTAGGCAATCAGTGGAGCCAGAGGATGGTTTCAATGGCAGAGCAAGGCTTATGCCTACAATCACTGTCAATGTGGAAAGCAAGCATTTAGCATAACTTACTGAATGTCTTCTTCTAACTTGTTCTTGTATATTTCCCATTTCTGCTCAGCTTCTTCCTGGAGTCTCTTCTCCACTTGATTCAAAATAGACTCCTCTAATTTGGATTGCTCACATACTGACAGATGAAGATCCTTCAAAGCTCCTTCTTCAACAGTTTCATTGCTCACTTTCTCTACATTGTCCATGATGCTAGGGCTGATATCTTCTTCATCAATACTGTCTCCCATTTGGACCTTCAGGGCAAGGACTTTTAGAGGCACATTTCTCTATACACCCCTGACAGCCCCCTACAAAAATGAAGTTGATGCGATCTGGTTGCAAGGTTGCAGTTTTCGCTTGGTCAGACCAATCAATTCATTAATTTATTCAAAAAGAACCAAGCAAGTAAATTAATGCATCTGTTTAAGTCGAGGTCATAACCAACTTTAATTGAGGCTACAATGTATGACCTTGTATATCTAAGGTAAAGACCTCTCGAAAGAAAGAGCTAACAGCCCAGTGGCTTTCAACTCAGAGCTGAATGGCATATTTTGAGGATTTTCATCCATTTAAACTGAGTCTCATGCAGCTTAAGTAGTTCAATGGTTTGAGTGCAAAACAAAATTGGGCTCTCACTGAGCAAGGTTCCATAACCAGTGAAAGATACACTCATTACATGGGGAGTGTCTGGCTGATAAAATAGGTTTATTCTGGATAAATTCCTGGATATAGCTAGCTACTTTTGCATTTGGGAATGATGTTTATCAGAAGACAGAGGCTATATCCATGGCTGGCACAGATCCAGTTATATTTGGTGCAGCATATGCTCTATTCTCCTTACATCCTTACTACATGGGTCAGTCAAATGAAAATGAAAAAATTTTTTTCTTGCAGTGAGTGTATTATTTCTCAAAGTTTTCCCCACCATTATAGAGGCACAGATTTCAATGTTTCATAATATTGTCTATACCAGCTTTCTAAAATTTCTGTAGATTCAGTTTGAACCACAATATAACAGCCTCCTTCACTTCATTGTCCATGCTCAAACACTAAGCTATGCTGGATGCTGATTATGGAATGAATTGAGCTGAGACTGATTCCCAAATCTACAGCCAATGCATCCAGTGAAACATTTCTATTGCACTGTATGAGTTCATCCACCTTTGTGATCATTTCTGTAGTGACATCATGGCCTGACCTGGGCATGAGTCATCCTTCAAATTCTAATGCCCACTTCAGAAAAATGTGCACCATTTGTACACTTGCTGCTGTGGTAAAAAGCTGTTCGTATCAGCAGGACTCATCCAAGATTGGATTTTGATGGGTGATGCACCATTAGTAGTCAGATATTGAATGACATCACACTGGGCTTCTTTGGATGCACAAGGCACTATGAGCGCCATGCTGCTTAAACATTTGTGCTGTTCTTTCTTCTCACTTGGTGTTGCCAGCTATGACAGATATTCCCTTAATCTCTGCAAACATACACTGAAAGTATTGGACATCCATCAATAGGGAATTATTTTACATTGCAATTTTCTCATTTTCCTTTGAGTAACCCTCATACTTTCCCGACTATGAGAATGCAAACTGGCAGTCCTATTTCTTTTAATATTTTATATCAATAATTAAAATTGCAGGGTAGATCCCTACCTGCAACCTCACTTTTCTCCCTTTTTGCATTCATTTCATATGAGTGTGAAGCAGTTGGGAAGTCCTATTACTGGGAGCAATGTGAAAAATGGCCCAGAGGAGCTGGACCCCCAAAAAACTAGGGATGTTAAGGGGGACTGCCTCATATAGGAGGAGCACAGTCTGGCTTGAATGAACTAGGGGCTGGTCAGTAGCTTTTCAGATGACCTGAAAGGGTTGACACAGTACAAGCACATTTGTTGCAGTCAACTGAAAACGTATGAAATTGAACTTAAGAGAAAAACCAAAAAGTTATGTCAAATGGTGCCTAGCCTTTGGCCAAATTGAGGGAGTTATCATACATCCAAGAGAGAAAACCTAATAAGCCAGGGCCAAACCAATCCAGAATAACTTACCTATAAACTCTATTGATATATACAAAATACTATATATTTTACACAAATAATATTTAGCTTTAAGAGGATTAGGCCTACCCTAAAATTACGGGGACGCCCGACCTCGACACGTGATATCGAAGTGGGTATAATCGCCTCTTGATATCACTAACGACCTTGGTACCTTGATATACATACATGTTTGCATTTACGGCGAACATTTTGCATAGCCTCAACGCAAATGCTAGGCCTACCCATTTCCACCCAAATTGAGGGGCATGGGCACGAATGGAAACACTGGGTAACCATACATTAAATAACAAGTCAGCACATGTTTTTCGCGTCCACGTGGTTACAGACAAGGGCCCTGCCCATGTTGTGCGGATGAACGTCGCCATATTTAGCCTGCTTATGAGTTTGTGCATGCGTGCCTCGACCAGCTACAGTAACCGATTAAGAGGAATATTTATTTTTTTGTGGTCGGAGATGCAGAAGTAATATCTTTGTTGACGGAGCTTTTCTCCGAAATTCTGCTGTCTCTTACGTTCCAGGGTCAAATGGAGCCGAGTGACTTAAGAAAAGAGCAACCCGGGAAAAAGGCTCTCACCTAGGTAACGCATAACATTGAATCAATATTGATTGAATGTGGATTGAGTATGCGAATGTTGAGGGCTGAAGGTGAACATGGTTACAATGTTGAGTGAATGTTACTACATGACATTGTGGAATCCACCCAGCAAACAAACAAACATTCCATCAGCGTTGTATGAAAGTTAAATTTGAACCTTCCCACTGTTGTGGTGGCGTTGCATCAAACATTAATTCAATATTTAAATGTCCTTTATCTGAATACTCAGATGAACGTTGAAATTCAGCACTGGCTGAACGTTTAGCCCACATTGCTATGTCACTTATTGGAATGCTCATTCCCACCCTAGTAGCACCCCAATAATGGGCCAATACAGACGTTGCCCTTGTCTGCCTGCCTTTTTCCATTGGATATTCATATTCATCAAAGTAGAAATTCGACAAAAGTAGCCTGAGATTTTCATGTCAAGAGGAAAATTGATTTTGCACATACAGTATATATATATTTAAAAAATATATTGCTCTGAACAAGAGCATGAGAAAGTTTCTATCAGAAACATTCTCATCAAAGAGAAAGAGCATCAAAAGGAGATTCATTGGTATTTTTCTCATGACAATCGAATCAAGCAGATCGGAGGAATGGCAAGACGCTTTCTGGCCATTTCGCCATTTTCAATGAGCAATTCCTTCAGCCTGCCCGAAAAAAAAAAAACAGTCCAAATATTAATAACCTCTGCGTCTCTGTCTGACTTTCCAAAATGCCATCTTTAATTGGTCTCTAATCGTCTTACGTCACAAACCTGCGATAGGAGCAGAACAGGTTCAGCTCCTATTGCAGGTTCACACAATCCGAACGCGGCTCAGAATCTTGCATTCCCTTTGGGATGTGTATCATCACATTCACTTCAGAATGGTCATCTAATTAAATACTTTAATTGAAAGAGGCCTAAGGCTGTGGTGGCTGTCACCCCTAATGCGCGAGGCCTACGATGCTATGCCATTCTGGGCCATGGCATAGGCTAGGCCATAAAAACTTTTGGTATACTTTTAATCTACTTTTAAAAGACTCACCCTGTAGATGGCAATTGCTACAGGGTGTGTCAAGTCCTGCCCACCTTTTGAAAATGAATTACTTCGTAATGCTAGATTTGATTGAGACGTGGTTTACACCATTCGAAAGAAGAAATAATTCTCTATCAAGTAAAAAGTGTCCACATTTTTTGTCGATGGTATCTTTTTTCCTGAGACATAATTTGAACTCCCGTAATTACGTAGACGTAATTTTTGAGCCGAACTGCCTCATATTCGTTCAGCTTCTCATTCAACTTATGGCTTCATCAATAGCATGAACTCTTGATATCGGCTGTGAATTGAATGATATCGACTTTGAATTTGCTAACCTTGCACGGACTAAGTAACAAGATCGAGCAAACCGTCCGAGGCCACTCAAAGTTTGCTTTCGGGGAATTATTAACTATATTGGCAGTATCCTGAACAAATCTTTGATGGCTTGAAGGAAAGTAATTTCCCCGATGTAATACTTTTGTTTCGCGACCCCATACGAATCCGAAAGAACGCCTGCCGTCTCTTTCCATTTTATGATGCGCCAAAAGGTAGTAGAATCCTATGGGAAGGTCTTATGGCCTGATCAAAGGCAAATATATTATATTATTTCAATACATGGTGTTCTCTCAAACACCAGGGAGCTGTCAAACGGCAAAGCACTGATGAAGGAACAGCGCTCACACAAAGGCCTGGAGTAGGTGTGTCTCAATAGCCCCTTCACGACTATACTTTCCCGCGCACTTCCAGGTACGGAATATTTCGGTACCGTACAAAGAAATAGAATATGACCTATAGGAACGCCTTGCCTCTGGATGGGTGGAACTCCTCCCCATCACGAAGAGGCATTCTCCATGATGGAGCGAACTGTGGGCTTGAAAAGCCGGGAGATGGAAGCGAAAAGAGAAAAGTTCGAGTGGGTCAACGGCACGCGCGGCAGATTTTGCATTTGTCTATATTGATCACGTGTGAGCTGGCTATGGAAAGTGACCATAAGGAGTTACGATGAACAATAAGGATAAAGAAATGTATTTTGAAAGGCAAGTTGGATAGAAGAAAAATAATTTTTGCGGTAGCTCACGATAAGATGGATTTCTTTTTGAATGAACGATATTGGGACACCCATTTAAATGCTGTTTCTCAGTCCCTTTGGAACGAAGCAATGCACCTTCTCCTTAGGATGGGTTGCGTAGAGATGGGTGTAATTTACGAAGAGGTGGACTTCCTTCTCCAGCATGGAAGTGACGTCATCAATAAACACTGAGAGGGTCGAGCCAAAGACGCTACCTTGAAACTTTTCTTAACTCTCTTAGATTCTACCTCTTGATTTCTTCCACGTTTTTTGTGCCGTCTCGCTGACAGTATTGTTTTGTGGACAATATCCTCCTGGGATAGGTGTACCCCTTGAGTCTAAACTTGTGAATACGTGCAAATGAACTTTCGGGCCAGATGTATTTATCCACGGATTCCCTACTAATGCTAAGCTCCATAAGAAGCAAAGCGCATGCGGCATCGAATCGGTAAGTTCTATTTTTCGTTTTCAGTCACTATGATGAGATCGTAGATGTTCG